CTTCGCGCGGCCGAATCTCTCGATGGCGCTCCTCCAGAAGGCTGTGGCGGAGTATCATTATAGTATTTAATGTGCTCTTTAATATGGTAGTAAAAATGTCCGATAAAAATTTAATAAAGTGTAACTTATAGCGCCTTGAAAGTCATGGAGGCAAAATGACTTTTTTTTGGCCCCCCCCCTGTATAGAGGCCTGAAATTCTGAAACGAACAGCACAGTGGTTTGGCCCGGACTGCCCGGCGCCCGCGCCACAGGCGCCGGCGCCAAAATACTTTAGGTCACCAAAATCGTTGAAAACTTGTCTCGTGGGGTAACTTGAGCCCCTGAACACGAACATCACATTCGTTTCCCGCGAAAATGCCTGGCGCCCGCGCCACAGGTGCCGGCGCCAAAATACGTTAGGTCACCAAAATCGCTGAAAACTTGTCTCGTGGGTTAGCTTGACCCCTGAACACAATATCACAATCGCTTGCCACAAAACTGCCTGGCGCCCGCGCCAAAATGTCCTAGATCATCAAATTCCCTGAAAACTTGTCCCTACCGGTGAACCGACCCCCTCAACAAAAATATCATGTCCACTTAACGCGTTGACGACGATTTCCGTCAATGGTGGACGACAGAAAGTTTGTCTTGTGGAACGGCGTCGCCCAATGCTGTCCCACAGTTATTATATAACTCAAGATCTGCGCGATTGTTTCACTTTCTTTTCATAAAATTAGTTCAAGAACAAACATTTTCGGGTCGAGGGATGCGATATTGTTCTTTAGGAGATCAAACCACCGTAGCTGAGACTCCGTTAGACAAATCGAAAATTCCTAATAAAGAGTGCATTCAAACACTGTAGATGTATTTCAGATTGAACTCGTCGCATTGACATGATGGATAATGCCATTTTCCATGTGGTTGAGAAACTGTCGAAAACAATCGAACAACTGAATCGCATCGAATACTCGAAAGTGCTTGTAAAAGAGCATCAGAATCAGCTGAAAGCCGATGTATGTCTTCGAAGGAAGTTGCAGAGTACCGTGTTTTGTAGCTGTTTCGCAATTAGCATGTGGGAGCAGCTGATAATAGGAGCGAGAGTAAGAAACATACAGCGCGGCCTATCAGGCTTCAGTTAATTTTTTTAGTTGAGAAACGTTCTCACAATGCGCTTTTAGACGATTCCATGATCAAATCGACGACACTTTAGAAAGGGGTGTGGCAGGGCAGTTCACACTGGAGATTGATCTCATGATAGCCAAAGAGACAAGAGCAAAGTGCGAAAACTGATATCCTTTCTTCTGAAGAATGAGGAGAAGGTAAATCAGAAGGGAAGATGGGTGTGGTGAAGGTGGTCGCGGATCAGATCCCCTAGGAGTTCTACCCTACTGCTTTCTCCGTTTTGGTGAGACGCTGCATAACGTTTCAGTCACGCTCGTAGAGTGACCCCTTTTGTTTTTTGGAATGTAGGACCTGGAATTCACTCAGATTAGGTCTTCTGTTTGCCCGCAACTGTTCATCAAAATGTGAGGAGGGGGGTCGGTTCATGACCAAGGTATCCCTACCTTCGAAGGCTAAAGGAATTTAATATGAAGTAGTGGCGGTGCAGCAGGAAGAATCGTCTGATAGCTTAAATGCACCGCCCGCGTTCATTCGATGTTCCTACGCCCTCCGTAGCTTTGTCGACAAGGGTGGAGGATGTACTAATTTCGCAGCTCAAAAATACGAGAGGATGGCGCCACCCGCTTGTGAAGAGGATGCCGCCCACCCACCTGGCTGCCATAACTGCTTTGGCTTAGCCTTTAAAGGCTGAGCCCGCTTTCAAGAATAATGAGTTATGGAGCTCATATAATACGTGATCCAGTAGTGAAGAAAAAAGCAGAAAAAATCATGGAAAATGCCCTATATAGAACCCTATGCTGGCCAGGTGGGCGGGGCGGCCGACTCTTCACTAGCGAACGGCGCTATCCTCTCGCCTTTTTGAGATGCAAAACTAGTACATACTGCATCCTCATAGGAGGGCTATGATATCCAGAGAGGGCGCGGGAACATCAAATGAACGCGGGCGTTGCCTTTAAGCGAGGGTTCGAGCAATGCTTCGCTCAAACGCGATCAAAGGTGGGTGCAGCACCGCTGGGAGGAGTCCAATTTGGGTCTGTGGGGAGGCGGGAGATCTTACCTTGGTCAATGGGCAGAGAGGTCAGTCTGCGGAGGGAACTGCGACTTTTTCTCATCTATGTACGCTATATCATCCCCTCCCCATCAGTTGGGCCCCGGTCGGCGACATCTTTATATTAACCACTATTTTGATAGTTTATTGGGCTGGCCTTGCACCACTCTCCCACGGGTTTTTGCGAAAAACGTCGGGTTTTTGGAAACCTGGTTGGCAGAAGAGCCGGGAAGGGTAGAGGCAAAGTCCACAATGGTCGTGTGGTCGGGTTACACTTTGCTGTCGGTGCGCACGTGCTCCTATCAAATAAGGACTGCTCTTAAGTGAGAACTGTTTGTCTAGGTAATTCCGGCCACACCTTCAGAGCAATCGAATGAGGCTTGCTCGAGTTTTCCAGGAAATCTTATTCAATGCTCGACTCGAAGACGGCTTGGCTGGAGACGTGGATTCCTCATGAACGCGACGACTTGGATCCCCATGAACACCGCGAGTGAGAAGCATGGACGAAGTCTCATTTTAATTCTGCTTACGCTATTCTTAATAAAGCTGTAGCCATTAGAATAAATATTGCTTCGCAAAGGCCGTCTAATTTTATCCCTGCTGGCCATCCAACGCGACTAATGATCGCAAAAAATTTGTCGCAAACGGCTAACAATAAGTTGGACAAACAACGGTCACGACCCCAATGATGAACATTTTTTTTTTTTCGATTTTATTTAATCCAGGCCGTCGCCATGATTAAGCTGACCGTTATGATAGCTGCCACAAGCATAGAGTTTCAATTGTGTGGCGTATTTAAAGAACCGATAGCGGACGCGATCAAACAGCACTTATGCTACTTTCCTAGGTTATCGTAGTTATCGTCTCGCTCCACCGTGTCCTTCACAGGTGAGTGCACTACCGATCATTTTGACTCCTGGGTACGCCGGAAGCGTACGCATTCGTTCCGATGGTGTGAAATTGAGCATTTTCTGTTTAAGACATTAGACACATGAGCCCCGAGAGTCGACGTGAAAAATATTTCACGAGAATGAGGGTTCATTACCAATCTTTCGTGAGCACGCTTTCTCCATATCGCAGCAATGCCAAAACATAAGAATAACAAGATTACGGATAAGCTCCACTGATCGATTCCTTTGTGCGGCATGCGGATGCATCCCACTTCCATTCCAGAATCGTAGCGGCGCATTGAATGCTATGTCGGCTTATACCGAAGCTGACCCTGAGGGGGGGGGGGGGTGCCAGCCACATGAACACAGTCGCTGTCCTTACATCCTTCCCCGCAGAACTCTCCAGTAACTTAACGCCCCTTGTCTGTTCTGGGCAGGAGTCGAACCGGGATTTGAACCCAGGACGCGCGCGAGGTAGCACTCCACTTGTTACTACCACTCCTACTCGGCAACTCATATTATGCTTGACGTAATTTGTCTTGTGACCCCTTTTTCAGAGCATGTGAAAGGTTACTTGCTTTATCGGAATTTCGTTGGTTAGATATGCCCAGACGTTTGTCTCGTGA